CTGCAGTGCATCCTTTAAACTGATAGGCAAATGCAGCGCAGAAATTCATCACATGTGGAAAAGACACGCATCTCAAGACTACAACAAAATAAATGCTTAAGGAAACGTGATCTTGGGGAGTGTCACTTATTTTCTATTTCCAGTGTTGGGACTGAAAAATCTCTAAATGTGGGCATGGCGCCCGATTCATGCGAAATAATTTTCAGCTCTTGTACTGTTTAATTTCCCGCGGCCAAAATTTAGATGTACTTCAAATTCATCCATTTTCGTTGCGTCAATTTCATCTGGTTCCCCTTGAATTTTGAATTTCATTTAGATGAGGACCGAACTGTAGCGAAAGCAGTCTTATTCGGGAATCGTTTCTTCTGGACTCAAATTCGCCTTGTTATTAAATTGTGATGATGGTTTTTCGTTTGGCGTAGCGTCGTGCAGTGGAACTAGGAACTCAGCATTTAGCATCATCAGAAGTAATTTTGCGTGCAAAAATATCCCAATCCGGCAACTCTTTATGCCTCCTGCCTATCCTCTTTCAGCGTATGTTGTTAAAAAGGAACATTAGCTCAATTTCCGAAAAAGCTGGCATTGGTCGGGAACAGTTTCGCAAGGGTAATCTGGAATTTGAGGAAGGGTGGCTCAGGGAATTATAAGGATCACAGCATGGAGATCTATCCTGGGCGAACCTCAACCAGTTCAAAGAACCGGTTAAGATGTTGCAGGCAATAAAGGCGCATAGACAAGCTAAAGGGATCAGGAACATGAGAAATTCAGACATTTGCTATTCAGATGAATTTAGCAGTAGCTTTTTGCTGCTTTACGACTGCTGATACTTATCTGCATGCTGTTTTGGGAATGTTACATTCGGGTGATCTGACTGCTGCGCTCAAGTAATTCGCGGAAACGTTAGAGTGTGCGATATTCCGGATAGACATATCCTCTAGTTTATGAATTCCCTCGAGCAAGGATATTTTATTAGAATATGTAAATACATTTTATTCTTTCTGGTTGAGACAAAAATCTTGGTAGAACTGAAGCGGGTCCAGACCGCGACGTTTGCTTGGGAATGCTCTGTCAGCGGAGTGGTGCTGTTGTGCTCGTGACATACGCTGCAGTCGACGACAGTTTACCCGGTCGAAGCCGATTCGCATATTTTTGATCACAAATTCTATCTGTAATTAAATTTTCGATCAATTATTAAACAACTCTCCGGCCTTTTTTGAACCAGAAAAGTTGGAAGGCTGGAGTTTTGGGGAAATGTTTCCTGTCTAATCATAACTCAGATATTTCAAATTCAGCCCCAAGCTATGTGTGGTACTTACTTAAGGACGTATGAAGGTTTCTGCGTAAAAATCATTGACTCGGTAACCAGAAAGGCTAGAACGCTGAAATTTTAGGGGAATGTTCCCTGTCCAAGTACAATTCAAATATTTTAAATCCAGCCCCAAGCTACGC